AGAAAAAAAAACGATTCGATATCCCCGTCACAAGTGAAATTTAGCAAACCGATTCTGACCTTCTCGCCATACATCTCACGACAATTTTTCACGAGTTTGCTTTTTTCCACAGTTTTCAGAGGGAAATATCACGAAAATTTCTTTTTCATTTCCTTCTTTGATTTTGAAACCTAAACCTAACCTAAAACTAATCTAAATCTAACCTAAACCTAACCTGAACCAAATCGTGCATTTCCTTTCGCTGAGACAAGCTCGAACAATCAGGTATCAGATCGCGAAATGAATTTGCAGTTTAACTAACTAACTAACCTAAACCTAACCTAAACCAAATCGTGCATTTCCTTTCGCTGAGATAAGCTCGAACAATCAGGTATCAGATCGCGAAATGAATTTGCAGTTTAAAACGAAGTCGCTTGCACGTTTATCAAAAAAAGAGAAAGAAACTTTAAAGATTACTTTTCGGCCTAACCTAATTGCTCGTAGCGACGCAACGTGCGAATGAGAATTCATAATCCGCGGGTTTCGTTCGAAAAAAAAAGAAAAAGAAAAAGAAAAAAAAGAAACAAAAAAAACCCCGAGTAAAAATACATCTCGACATTTCGTTCGGTTAACGCGCCATCCGGATTTAGCTTTTAACGCGCTATGATCATTCGCGGATTCGTGCGGATTTCCCGGTGGGAAATTTCAGAATCGTCGATTGTTAAACTCGAAACTAGCACTGATACGTGTGCCAGGATAATGCGCGGCGCGTCGGTTTGCGTTCGAGTAGTGTGGATTTGCCCTGTCTCTCTATGGAACTCGTTTGCAATCGGTGCCCATCGTCCTACCGGCTTGTCGGTACACCGAATTCCTCGGATAACGTTTGCACTTGACAGTGTTCTAATAATTATTCCGTTCGTGTCGCGAGAACGAATGATCCAGCGTGAAAATGTCGATACGTGATGTGTACAGGGTGAAAAGAAAAAGTTTGTCCGTGGCTATTACAGATGAATTGCACACCTTCGATTTGATGGAAATACATATAAAGGACCTGCCGTAAAATTAAATGGAATTTTAATTGTCAAAAAAATTTTTTTTTTTTTGCATTGTATTCTACTCATCACGAAGGTAAAAAAAACTATCATAGGTCGCGAGCTGATAATTCTCTTGAAAAATGGCGAAAAAGTTTCTTAATCATTTAACACTGCAGACGCATGCGTGCGTTCTAACAGCGACTTTATGGTTCTGGACGCGTGTATATGCCTATTCAACGTAATTTTCGTATTAGGTTCCACTAACATTTGATTCATCAAATCGTAGCATCGTAGCATCAGTGTGAATCTAAATAATTAAATGATAAAACTAACCGTTCGAAATGTAAATATTACGTAATATAGGCAACCATAAAGTCGCTGTTAGCACGCAGTGTTAAATGATTGAAACTCTTTTGCCATTTTTCAAGAGAACTATTAGGTTGCGATCTATGTTTCCT